AAATCCGCGATGTATGAAATTGCGTTAATTGTGAAAGGATATTGATATGCAATTTTCATTGAAACACTATTTTTAAACGTAATGTTACTTGTACTTTCGTATTTACTACGTTTTTTTACATGAGAAGACGGTCTACACATTTAAAAACGAAGTTTACTAAATTGCAACCATTTTTGACGTTCTCGAGATATTGCGCTTTTCGAAGGAAAATCGGCATTTCGAAGCAATGCAAAACTGCCATTAGTTTTTAATTCCTTCAAGGCTGTACTTAACTAACACAGATATTGGATCCATGAATTTGTGCCGGTTTGCGAGTGATTGCCAATTATTCGTAAATTTCGACACATTTCATGAATTAGGTCACCTACTGTAATTTCTTTTATTCAAAGCCTAACCCGTCCGCTACTATTGATCCAATGTGCCGAGGCTGAAAAGGAAGGAGCGCCAATCAAAAGTGTAGGTATTTCTGGGACATCCTGTATTAAGGCAAGAAAACAGTTGCTAGACGCGTCGCTCTGGCTACTAATCCCAAAATAGCAGGTATTGTCTCTATGACTGCATTTTCGTTTTAGCCACTAAAAGTACCAACGAGTCGTTTTGTTTATAAATGTGACTTTTCTACCTCAGTTAAATTCTCCTATTTGGCCGGAAGACGAGGTCTCCCATGCAGGTCTATGTGGGCGGGACTTTTCCAACAACTGTGCTAAACCTGAAGACATGCTCTGGCTGCCTAAAAACTCACTATCAAGCGCATGTACAGACGTCTCCCCGAATGTTGTCCGACGATAACGTCGGGGGCAAAGTTTATCTGGCAATATCAGGGTGGTCTTCCGGTCCAGTGAACTTTGTGTGACAAAAAGAAAATTGAAAAAGTCAGATTCGAAGTACGCAAAAAGTGAATCAGACTCACCCAGCGTTAACCGTCAGTTTGGAGAGGAGAGAAATGAGAGTGTCTCCCCTCTCTGGACGTCCTACCGCGTAGAACGCCCGACAAACCAATTCATAGAAGCGGATTTCGCCATAAACATGGACAGATAAACGCCTAGATTTCTGCTGTTTTGTCCGTCTAAGTCATAAACGACGCATAGTCGACTGCCTAACCAGCCAAACTAGAAGAATAGATAATCAGGACAGGCTGGAAAGGAAGCTCATTTATGTGAAAAAAGAAGAAGAAGAAGAAGAAGAAGAAGAAGAAGAAGAAGAAGAAAAAGAAGAAGAAGACGACGACGACGACGACGACGAAGAAAACATGACCGCTGGGACAAGAGCTTTATTCGCCTGAAGTTGCGAATTCCTGCCCAACCCCATCATCCGAGACCATAACAGATACGGCCGGTTCATGCACAAGGAGCTGCAGTATTTATAGGATGCAGTCGCCATGCTACCGCATACCTATGAAAATTCACGGCTCCCTCCTTCATCAGGTATCGTTGCACTTGTCAATGGACGGGGGCCAGTGAACCATGACTCAAGCAGCTCGCGGCCTACGCGTTTGGGGTCGTTTGGCGGATCTGGGACAATTGCGGACAAAACAACTACGTTAGTGGAAGCGAAAGACAGCTCCGAACGCGAATGGCCGAACCCGCTGCAGCGGCGCTGAGAAATGACGCCATCTCTCAAGTTACAGCTCATTCGACGAGATCCGACCACACATTCAAGTCCGACGAGGCCATAATTTTCGCTTGGGGTGACAATCGCGTAGGCCGCGAGCTGCTTGAGTCATGATTCACTGGCCCCGTCCATTGACAAGTGCAACGATATTCCCTTTCCATACTGGGTGTTGAGACTTCGACTAGGTGGAGTAATTAGCCACGCGGGAACGCACAGGCTAACACTGTTCCCAATGCCAGGGGTGGTGGGTCAGATGGTCGAGCAATCATCACACCAATATCCAACACCCATGATGGAATTGCAGCAATTAACGACTCGAATGTCGGTCATCGAGCAGTCATTACACCAAGTGAAATGATACTTGATGAAGGAGAGAGCCGTGAATTTTTATAGGTATGCGGTAGCATGGCGACTGCATCCTATAAATACTGCAGCTCCTTGTGCATGAACCGGCCGTATCTGTTATTGTTTCGGATGATGGGGTCGGGCAGGAATCCGCAGCCTCCGGTGAATAAAGCTCGTGTCCCAGCGATCGTGTCTCCCTCTGCGCGACTGCTTCCTGGGACCCATCTCTTCGTTTCAAATTGGCAAAATCACCTTTATACGAAACATTGCGTGAAAATGGCTTCCCGATAAGTTTTTAAGATATATATGGGGAACGTCCGTCTAAATCGAACTTGCCTGCGGCCGAAATGAAGGAAATACTTCTACCCATGCCTTCTCAAGGAGACCCGGGCAGCGAACTTCCAAAACGCCGCCTAAACTCTGTTATTGCGCACACGTACCCAGCCGCCAAGATAAAACTATTTTTTTCAAGAATCCCACCTCTTGTCTTCGGAGGTAAGGATAGACTGTTCTTCTGAACTTCTTCAGTCTTCGTCTACGTCCTCACCTGTAGGGCAGGTCAAACTGCTCGAATTGCACAGCGCCTATCCAAGCGGATACGAAAGTACCCTCCTGCCTGGCTAAATCAAGTCATGGACGAGTCTATGTCTGGAACCGTAGTGGCTCGATTGGTTGACAGCGGCTCCCAATTTAACGTCAAATAAGCATTTCTAATGACCTGTAGGGCGCCGATGAAGGGCCCTAAGTTCCTGCACCGGTGGGTACCCGCGACGGCAGAGACAGTGGCTTCACGGTTGCCAACCCAACCTTGCACTCGCGGAAGGTGTTTCTACAAGCCCTCAAACGCCCCTGACTAGAGCTGAGTTTTGCATGTTCGTTCCCGCATCCTCCCACGTCGCGCCACAGCAACGAAACATAGGCACACCTCGCTTTCAGACTCCCACTACCCCCGCCCCCTCCGCCCTCCCCCCTGAGAATTCCTCTACCATAAATAGACTATAATTAACCCTGATGTCTGACATGCCTGAACGTCCTCCGCCCTCTTCCCATGACTACTGTTCACTGACTGCTGTTTGACTCGGTTACCGTACAGGTCTGAAGAGGAATAGTGGAAAGTTTTGCCTTCTTGTATGTTAAAGTGGGTATCATTGCAGAACAAAAGAACATGAAACTAACACGACTGGTCCTTAATTAACATAGACAGAGGATCGATATTTTTCGCAGGATGCCATCAAACTTCGCCTTACTTTTGATTATTGGCGCGGTGGGGCATTTCGCGGGACCTGAACACCTCCATTTTAACGCCAATGGTTCAAGATTCTAAGCGATTAAATTGGAAGAGAGACATTCCCAATGTTAAACATCTTAAGTCCGATAGGTGAGCGTGAGATTTATTGACGCCAAAAACCCGATGACAGCTCATCAGTTGTCTCCACTCGCCGCGAAGGACGAATGAGTAAAAAGTACTCGCGCGCAAATTTGAATTCCTTCAGAAAATCGATAGGAAGAAGCAACAGGACCATATTTTAGAGCTCTGTTTAGGGCACCACGAGGTACTCCGATAAAGTCAGGTTTGTGACATAGATCAGCAGCTTGGTAATGTCGGGTGTAACTTTGCGTAGTGTGGGCGGCCTCCACGTAGCAGACTGCTCGCGCACGACCCGGCGGAAAGTCCGCTGTGTATGAAATATTTACCGAAATAAAAAATTATTTACCTCAAGACAGTGTATCGTTCGATTTTTAAAAAAGTTTCTCACTATGAGAATTTTCAATAATGTGAAGTATCCTTTCATACAGCATCACATCAGTATATTTATTAATGCTCCTATAAAGTGGACAACACAGCCCACATCCATTGCAGATTTTAGTGAGTACAGTATGAAGTCTTCTTTATGACATATGGAAGACTGTGAGTTTAATTACATGGAAAGTATGCGGGTTGTAGTTTAGAAACTCTGAATTCACTTGTAACGGCAGGTTGGGTCCGAGATTATTCGATAATTAAGACAGTTTTCTAAAACCGATTAGAACTCGTTCAATTATAAAACTTTAAGAAGACGTTATTTGCCACCAAGTAAGTTAAGGAAAGAATATTTTTATTCATATTGACCCAACTGTGAAAAACTCGGCGCTTCGGTGGGATTCGAACCCACACAGTAAGGGGGCAGGCTTTAGTACAGCCAGCGCTCTAACCACCTGAGCTACGAGGCCCCACCGGACGACGCGAGTTTTATCACACTTGCGTCAAGTTCACGCTTTTCATAAAGTTTATTTGAATTTATAAGGACAGTGAAAATCAATGGGAAACTTTAATACTGCTCAATTACTCATTCTTGCGAAACGCAGCTTACGCGGACAGTCGACAGGGAACTCGTTCGAAAGTCATCATCCTGATGTCGATGGAAATACACGATAATTGAAAACGCGTCTCGGAATTTTGGTCAGTGTTACATTAGACAGCACATCTACTGTATATTCTGCTTTCCTCGGTCTGAAACTATTCCAGGACGCTCTATATCGTCAAATAAATTTAGTCTGACAGCGTACAGAGTCCTGCGGGAATAGGTCGCATCACTGTACGTCTGACATATTTTGACTCATCCTACACTCGTTCTTCTTATAATTACTTTATAATTGACATTACCGAAGGTTTAGGCTTGTCGTCAATTTCAGGCTGACGAAGCCTGTTCATCTATAACTGGGCCGTGGGGTCATGTTCCGTTACCTGCGATTGATGATATTCCGTGTGAGAAGCACTCACCGGCCTGACATTTCTCGGATGGCTGTACGCTCGCTCTGTGAAGCCAAAAGTAGGGTGCTCACAACCGGTGGCATGGCGATGGACACTCACCACGAATGGTTTTTTTTCTAGAACAAAAGACTGCAAAATCCACTATCAACTACCGTGGGACAGCCGACTCGACACATATGGTTCCTGAGCGCTGGCTAAATCTTCTTGGACGCTTTAACGGCCCGAATATTCGACATGCCTTGAGCGACACAAGCATCCGGTCAGGTCCAGATTAGCAGAACGACAGCAGGTTCTACCTAAGAGAGTAATAGTGGCAGTGGTATAAATAACAATAATAATAATAACGGTAGTAGTAGTAGTAGTAGTAGTAGTAGTAGTAGTAGTAGTAGTAGTAGTAATAGTAGTAGTAGTGGTAGTAGTAGTAGTTGTAGTAGTGGTAGTAGTAGTTGTAGTAGTGGTAGTAATAGTAGTAGTAGTAGTAGTAGTAGTAGTAGTAGTAGTAGTAGTAGTAGTAGTAGTAGTAGTAGTAGTAGTAGTAGTAGTAGTAGTAGTAGTAGTAGTAGTAGTAGTAGTAGTAGTAGTAGTAGTAGTAGTAGTAGTAGTAGTAGTAGTAGTAGTAGTAATAGTTGTAGTGGGGAGTGATGGAGCGGTCATGTCGATGGTTGTTTTCGTTGGTTTGTAGGAGCAAGTTCATGTGTTCTGTGTCCAAGTGGGACATGGACGTCAGCGACTGTCCGAGTGCGCGAGTGGCCGACGGTTAGACTGCAAGGTCAGTGCGTCGGGAACCTCTCGAAGGGAAGGTGATTTACCCCGACGTAGTGGATCGTTGAACAAATAAGCTGGGCTTCGCAATGATGGCCCTTGGCTACGGCGCTCAGCTAATCTACCTGTCATTGTCAAAACAGGTCGGTGGATATCCCACAGAGGGAGCTACTACCAGGTGTTGGCTGATACTTTCGAAGCCGAGAGATAATCCATTCCAACGTCTAGGTGCCTGGTTCGTCATCCCTCAGTTTAGTCGTGTGCGCGCTCTTGCGGGCGGCGGCAGAGAACGGGGTCGGAAGGGCCTCCACAACCAGTTTTCACACGCACCTGGCGTCCCCCCCCCCCTCCGCCCCGACCTCGATGCTGGAGACGTCTGGCCTGTCATCTAGGCCAGTGTCTGATCGCACCCGTCGTGGGGGCCTGGCGGCAGCTTCGTAGTCGCGGTAGAAGCTGGGTTGCGGAGACCAGGGTGGAGGTGGGTAGAACTTCAAGGCAGCCCCTCCCCCCTTGGGAGAACGATACGCAGGCGCACGCAAGGCTTCCCTTTCCGCCCCATCAGCCGGCAGTGGAGGGGAACTTAACAGGGCGTAGGTGTTTGGGGCTAAATCAGGTCTCGGATAGGTGAACTTATTAGCTGTATGTAGGCAGTTCTAGAAGCCGATGATGGAGTACTACTATAGGCTCTAAAAGCCTTTATGGGGGTTAGAATCTACAAGAACCTTTCGCCTTTAGTGAGTGAGCGATGAATGCATGTTAATTTGAAAGAGGCTTTTTAGAGCTAGAGAAATGGCGTAAATGACGCTCTATCAACACTCTGAGGTAAGTAATGCTCGTCCAGTACATGACTCCAATGGGCGTTTATAAATACCTAAACAGAGAGCTTTCCTGGGGTGCGGAATTGTCACTGGAATCCATTCAAGAGGGTAGTTCCGATAGAAGAAGGTTTTTGATTAAATCTACATTTCCCCCATTTAGTTTGCTGACGATATGTAGTCTGCAGCGAGGATACGGCAAGATCTAAGGAAGGCACATCCGTCCGTACATTACAGACACAATGAGAAATGTGTTCCTATTCTGTAGAAAGGTTGGCAACGAGAAATGTCGATGATGATGATGATGATGATGATGATGATGACGGCGCCTTTAGAAAGAATATGGTCAAATGTGGTTATGTAGCCCCACCTGAAGTAAACAAATCCCAGCCACCGGTAATACGAGACCGGTGGTAATAGGGCTTTTTACAGGTGGGACCGGGGAACGCACAGGCGAAGAGGTCAAATAGTTGCATGCAAAAGAAAAGCTATTGGGGATGCACGGTTTTACTCTGAGTGGTTGAGAAATAGTTTCTCTAACCCCTAACCTTAACCCCTTACTCCAACCCCAACAGTGTTGTGTCCATCAGGCGGGTCTACATAACCACATCTTACACAGAATATCATTGGATCGGCAAAGCGAGGACGGTGCAGCGAATTTCACAGTCTTATGCCCTTAATCAAGGAGTGTAATTTTATTCGTTGCTTAGTCCCGACGGAGGCACGATATATTCCAGGTTTCGCTTACAAGGAACTTAGTTAAACCGAAACGATTCCATGATAGCAGTGTTCACTGATTCACCCTGCTAGCAGAACGGGATACTAACACCCCATATTGTCTTCCAGTCCTGGTCTAAAACCGACGTCGGCGCTCACACAGCGCAGGATGATTTCCATCAGAGGTGTATTGCCGAGATAGAAAGGGAATTTACTTTAGCAGTTATAAAAATGGTTTCCTTCACACACTATTTTGTTTATGCTGCTTTATTTACTCATTTGTTTGCATGGCCATGCTTTGTGTACCTCTGGGAATTCGGTTTACAGTAGTGTTCGGAAGTTCTTTTGTCATAACTAATGGGCCATTTCTAGCCAACGTACTATTACTCTTAATACGTCGTTTATGTTTTTACCTCAGTGAAGTTCGTTCATCCCTTATTTGGAGTTCTGACCGATGCATTTAGACCGGTCGACGAGTGGGTAGAACTTTTTTGTGAATTTATGCATATTTCATGAATTGCGTCACACACACACACACACACACACACACACACACACACACACACACACACACACACACACACACACACACATGCCGTAGGGCAGTCCTTTCGCATCAAACCGAGACGTTTTGCAAATGGATGCCCTCATCACTTCTCATGGATGCAAGTGGTAAAAACATTTTCCTATTTTTTGCAGCACAAAACCGACTGAAAAAAAATGTTTCGTTGAAAAACAAAACCGACTGAGGGCCTTAGGACTACGCAGACGGGAGAACATTATTATTAATCATTTTACGTCGGGCTTTGTTGTCAACTGACATTTGACGAGGTCTGATAATCGGCTGTCTGTGGAGCTGTGTGCTTGGGATGATATCTTGGGGAGGGGGGAGGGAGGCGAGTTATGGAGTGCTTTGCCGGAGCATTAATGACGATATTTTGGCTACAATTGACAGTGCATTAAGAGCTTCTGGAGGTGAATGTTTTGCCCGAAAGAGGTGACTATCATAATCCGACGCACAATCATGTAAAACGCTTAAATGCAAAATGCATTCGCTCTTACAGTCTAGTCGTCCAAAGTTATCTTTTGCCTGTACTGAATTAGAATTTGTAAGGGATCCGGAAATTTCGTATCCTCCGCCCCGATAAAAATAGGAATCACCTAAACGGTGCGGAGAATAACGGGGCTCCAGCTGGGGATAAAAAAACCTGCAATGAGAAGTGTCTGAACACCCTGGTTCGACAAAGTAAGCTAACACTACATATTCTATCGTTGTTTAAACTAGCGAATAACGCTCGAAGTTAATTTTTCTGAGACCTCGGCTGTTGTCAGTAGACGGCGTCTGACAGTGTCTAGATGTCGAAAAATAAAATGCACTTTCAGTTGAAAAGACAGGCAGTTTCCTGCTTTAAAACGGACGGCTTGCATATGAAAAGGAGGAAGAGGAATAACAGCTCAACTCAAAAATACCACTCTCGCGGGAACTGGATAAAATCCATAAATACGTCACCAAGGCGAATATATTATTTATGCGGGTCTACATTGTGAATAGTAGGGGGGAAGAACCACAAGTTTATTCGTGCACCACGACACGCCTCATGTTTAGTCGACATTCTCACATTCTTCCCAATCGCAAAACGCTAGCGCTTATATAAAAGCATGAATTTTCATCGGCTTTACTATCCGTCTATCAGGAGTCTTTAAATAAAGTGGGTAAACTTTCATTTCCTGGAGCCTTTTATGCAAATTTTCATCCTTCCCAGACCAAGCGCTTGAGCACCTGAGTTAAAGGTACGAGCAAATCAGTACACCATACAAAGTAGTAACTACTCATTTAGTCCATTATTCGTATTTCCCGTTTGTATTTCATGAAATAAATAAGGCGCGGATCAGGTTGGCTCATGAAAAGCGCTAATCGTGCTGAGCAGAGGCCGCGGGAGCTCATTTAGAAAAAAAGTCCCCACGAAGAGCCGTTAAGTTGCGAAGATTAACTAATGATTTCAACATGCGGAATTAATACAACTTATAGTGACATAAGGGCGTTCAAAAGCTGGCGAAATGGCTGATTAACAGCGGACAACATATTGATTTCATCTATATACAATAAGTACAGTAGGTGGGCTAGCTCACGAAATGTCAATAAAAATTCCGAAATGCGTTTTCGATTCGAAAAGATTAATCAAGTAGGCTTGTAAAATCGATCTTCAAGCAGTATAATTATATAATAATTCAATTACCTCGAAATGGCGGCTTTCAAACGAACTACTTTTGAGCTGCATTCAAAGACTACACTCTGTAAAAATGACTACTTAAGTAGTATACATTTTTCTCATTGATTTTCGAAGCCCTTGAATATTTAATTATATTTCATGGAAAACATGCATTAAAATATTCATTCTTTTGCTCACTCTGTAGAAAAGGATGTCTTTTTCCAAGTTCATACTCGAAGGAAAGGTATAATTAGCTTTTCAAAAACTTTTTCAATTCGCGAATAATTTTGGGCCTAACCTGCCGTAATATTGGCATTCAGGGTTTCCAAACTACAGGCTGTATACTTTCCGCCTACAGAGAACCATGCACTTCTTTACGGTATTAAGAGGAGACCGTATGGAGTTCATAAATTTGGCAGTGGATTTGAGTCATATTGCTAACTTTACAAGCCACATTGGTAAATACAGAGATATGACGTTTTATGAACGGCCATTCCACGGTATTATAAAATATCACAATTAGGAACTTTTTTAAAACCATATTATACCCTTCCTTCGAGTATAACATTAGAAGAAGACGCCATTTTCGACCGAATGGCCAGAAGAATGAATATTTTTATGCATGTTTTCTACGAAATATAATTAAATTTTTAAGGGCATCGAAAATCAATGATAAAAATACATGCTACATAAGTAGTCACTCTTTATAGAGTAACCATTTTGCAGGTGGCCGAAAAGATGTTCGTTCGAAAGCCAGCATCCCCAGCTAACTGAAATATTACAGAATTATGTTGCAGACTGACTAATTTTACCACCCTACGTAGTTAATCTTTTCGAAACGAAAATGCATTTCGGAATTTCGGTTGACATGTCATGAGTTAGCCCACCTGCTGTATGTGGGGGGTTGAAATAGTCAATGCCAAGGATGGGGTGAGAGCGGAAAGGAGCGGAGAGTTGCATCTAGTCCGTCCGCCTTTGATCACGGTAAACACGAAACCTGAACGGGATTCTTCTGTGCGCACAAGATTGGTTTTCGCAACCTGATGGTGGTCACTTCTGCTGTTGTTAACTGGCGCTGGCCCAGTAGTTTAGGGTAACTCTATGGGACCTTATTAATCAGACGGAAAGCTTCGTTGGGGCCCGTACGACGACCGGAATCAGCAACATGCGTGAGAGTAGCGCTCCGTCTTTTTCGAACCACCTCGAGAGGTGTT